TTGATGTATCGGTAGTCCTGACAGGGGCGAAGGGAGCCGTCCTTCTTTCCTACAAAGAAGAAGCCAGAGGCTTGAGGCGACTTCGATGGTTGGATAAAATCTTTCTGGATGTGTTCGTCCAGAAACGCTTTAACCGCTTCTGTCTCTTTTGGAGAGAGGGGGTAAGCTCGGGAAGATTTTGGAATAAAACCTTCCTTCGTTTCGATCCGGTGGTCTACACCTGGTCTTGATGGGGGGAGCTTGTTAAGCCCATCCTTCGCGAATATATCTGCGAAGTCATGAAGGTATTCGGGGACAAGCTCTTCGAATGGTTTCTTCTTCGTTTCTTGAGCTTTGTCCTTGGCGAATTCCTGCGCCTTGTTACTGGTTTTCGTGTACTCCTCCTTCAGCCGTAGCAAGGATCCAAATGTTGCGAAGGGGAGTCTTCTTTGTCTTCGTGGTCTCCGTCTTGGAGGTTCCATCCCTAGTTAGGGGAGTGTCGAAGGTAAGGTTCTCGATCAGTCTGACCGAAGAACCATCGGTCGAGTATTCTATAAGAATCTCGTCATCAGTCAAGGGGTAAGTCGCGACTTCCTTGACTTCGGGTAGGGGTTCGATCTTCCCTACCCAGACATCTTCCATGATGTCGGTTTCTTGAGGCATTTCGAAATGCTTTTCTTCGGCGGGTACCTCCTTGGCAGGTTTTGCCTTCTTCGTCTTCTTTTTCTTCTTCTTGCGTCGAATTTCTTCAAGTACGTGTTCCGTACTCAGGGGAAGTGACTTGAGAGGTTTGAAAGGTGCCTCTTCCTCGTCCTCGATCATTGGTCGGAGACCTTCGAATCGGTAGGGGGTTACCCCGTTCCTTTTTCGAATCTTGTTGAGTAGATTCTCAACGTGTCTGGATCTGGTTGTGGGGAGCATTGTGATTTCGTTGCGTCCCCAATCGATATCCGGTTTCATGGCGGATAGCCAGGGTTTCCCTAGCAAGATGTCGTCTCTTTCGGAAAGTCTAGTGACGTTAAACTTTCCCCACATAGTTCGTCCGTCGAGTCGGACGAAGAGTATGCAGTATCGGATGACCTTCCCAGCAGTGGATTGGCTTCCATCTACCTGTAGTGATGCGGAAGGGTTTCTTCAGGAGGTGGGTTTTAATATTGTGCTTCTTTACGAAGGTGTCACAAATAAATGTTCCCCCAGCTCCTGAGTCGATGATGGCTGTTGTTGCAACGGTTTTCGTACTCGTGGAAGAGAAAAGTGTCACCGGGACACGGAATTCATTTTCTTTTCCTACAGTATGAGTACACAGGATATCTAAGGAGGGGACGCACGTTGCTTTTGCGGTCCTCCGTTCTAAAAATCCTCTTCTCCTTGGAGCCTGTTGGTCTCCATGTCGTCTTCGGAGGTTTCGTCATTACGCTGGTCTCTACCAGTCGTTACCGGAGTCTTTCCTTTGGTATCTTTCTTCTCTCCACGTCGTATCTTTCGGGTGGAATCTGGGATCGTTGGCTCTGTGGCCATGCTCTTTGCATGAGAAGCAAAGGCCCTTCTTGTAGCATTCGTCTTTCTCTGCCTGAGAGAGGGTGCGGTCCACGTCCATAGCGTTAGGGTCTCTGGACGAAGAGACATTGGGCTTGGGGTAGTACTTGGAACCGCGAGGGGCATATCGGGTGTGTTGGTTGCGGGAGTTGGCAGAGACGGCCTTGCTCCTGCGGTAGTTAGCGTCGAGCTGTACCGCAGAAGTGTACCATTTTTCGATGGTGTCCGGAAGTGTCTCCTTCCTGTAGATTGCTTCGCGAAGGCTTGGGTTCAGGCCTTTCTCAAAGAAGTGTGAGAGTGTCACGCCTTCCTTGATATTGGCGATGGTAGCCAACGTTTTGAACTTCGAGATGTAGTCCGTAACGTTGTTTCCCATTCTGAGTTCGGCGATTTCGGTGAGGGCATTCACCTGCTTATCAACGGGTTGAAATGCAAGGTTGAATCCTTTCTCGAATTCTGCGAACGTTCCGAATTTCGGGGGGTTGGTGCTGAAAGCTTCGCGATAGAAGTTATCAGCCCATGCTTTAGCGCTGTTCTTTGTCATTAATGACAGGGCGACGGACACCATAATCTGCTCGCTGCAATAGACGGTGGGGTTGATGAGGAAGTACGTCTTTAAGCTGTAGAGCCATCGTTGTGCGTCGTCGGTGTTCCCATCGTAGTCCGTTGGTGACCCTGCTTTGAGTTCAGGGGCACGAACTACGACGGCGGTGGAGGAGGATGGGTTAGACATTCTTGTCTTCGGGTTGGCGCTAGTGTTTCGGGGAGGTACTTCGTCTGGAAAGTCCTCTTCAGAAGTCGGAGTGTTTCCTAGATCTTCTTCGTCGTTCAGTCCCTCGTCTGAGTGGTACTGCTCTGTTGGTGAGGTGGGAGAGCTAAACTGTCCGTCTACCTCTTCTTCGTCAGGATCTTCCTGATTCGGGTCGCGCTCCCAAGAGAACTTGCGTGTCCAGGGAGTGGTCGTCTTGTATCTGTTTCTGTCCTCGATAGGTGTCGAGGGCTAGAAGGTAACTTGAATCTTTTGTTACGACTTGGATGGTATCTGTTGACGACGCTCAAACAGAGCTTGTGTTGTCAACGGTCTGTGGACGTCCTTGGGCTAGCCCAAGGTTAGGGGTCGTACTTGGCGTATCTTCGGCAAGTACGATTTGACGCCTATGTCCAAATCGGGTAGCTTATGTCACGCGGGTGCGAGACGATAAGCTATATCGGCCTAGGCTTACGACACCCGAAGGTTAATCGTAAGGATCGTCGTTAATTAGAAAGACGGAAGTCCGACTAGTTAACAGGGGCTTTGCTCGTCGACAAAGTCGATGAGTAAAGATCAAGACTATAGGCTTATCCGCGATGAGCAGATAAGAAGATAGAATATAGGCTGCTGGCGAGGCAGAAAGGATCACTCTGGTGAGAGTAGGAGGTCAAGAACCAAGTAGATTCAAGTTAAGGAATATGGTACATGGTAGCGAGTTTATATAGAGGACAGGGGACGTATTAGTGGATGATAACTCGTACTACCGGGAGAGGCAATCGTTAAAGGGTAAAACCATAATAGGAAGGCACGTTCGATCTAGGTAGAACGTGCTGGATAAGAAAGTGAGTCAAAGATCAGAATGAGAAGTGGAACACGCAGGGGCACGATCGTGCAACTGCGGATCTAAGTATAAGTCGCATGTGCGACTGCGCATCGAGTCAGAGATCAGAAAAAGGAAATGGGATGCGTCATGCATCGTATCATAGGTTACCATCCAGATGGTAAGGGCAAGGGGACTATCCGCAGGATCAGTCAGGTGGTGAAACGGAGCAAGGGTATGCTTCGTCAGCGAAGGGATCCGGCCAAATGTACTGGCTTTGCTGAAGCGATAGGTAGAGAGCGAAAGGGAATGCGAGGATGACGAGGATGACGAGGGTAAGGTCGGGGTAAGGGTATGACGCGAGGGCTGATACGAGGAGGATCAGGAGAAAAATAGTAGGGGCCCAAGCATCTAGATGTTCTTGTAACAACGAGAACACAACTGCGACAACTACACGAGGTAAGTCACATCCCGGTTCTCAAGAAGATGACTGAAGTTTGCTGTGTGCATTCATGAAAGCTGGTGAAGTGTATAACTCACCCTGGATATTGACTTCGCATGGAAGATGCAGGGCGCTCCATTAGAGTAGGTAAGGCTCAGTAGTGAAATAGCTTGTTGTCCTGAGCATTCGAAAGCTTTTCCTGGATAACAGAAACAAGAGGTCAATAATAAAGTTCCGCAATACCAACATGTCAACTCCGCAGCTGTGCCAGCGATTACCCCTCATCTATCTCCATAGGTGTATGCCTCCAGAGGTGGATGGATTGTGGCCGGGGTTGAACCAACATTAGAAGAATCTGCAGATGACACTGCATCAATCTGATTGGAAGACGATGATGAGACTCCTGGATGGTGGAATCACATGCTTGAAGACTGTCTGCTAGTGTTGTTATTGACTCGGGATCATTTCACAGAGCCCAGGAGATCTCTTGCTTTGCATAAAGCAGATGTCAAGTGTTTCTTGCCTTTTGCGCACAAGTGCTGATGCTTGGTATATGCGCTCTCATGCATGAATTCGCACATGCAAGTGCATCTGAAAGGTGTTGGACCTGACGGTGAAAGCAACCCAACTCCGCAAGTTGTAGCTGTTCTTTGAGCCTGTCTATGAATTCTGCTTGGCCTGCTTCATGGTTTCTCACTGGCAGGAGGAGGGTCTCAGTCTGAAAATTGTCATCAACATCTACACCGCCAGTCTGTGGTGAGCTTTCAGAACGACTAGTCATTGATGGCAGTAACAAACCTCAGGCTGACTCAATGATTAGTGTAATTTCCTTCCCTTCTATCAGTGTTACCCGCAATCCTGATCCTAATGAAAGGCGGGTATTCAAGTTAGCAAGTGGTGCCGCAATGTAAGTCATCTGGTTTACTGTATATTCAAGTTAATGTTATGTTCTTGCAGCTCGAAGGTATTGCACGAGGATTGCGGCATAGGCAAATGTGTTCTCTAGTGTCAAACTGCAGCAAGAACATGTGCACCAAGCTCTTATCCTCCCCTTATCCAAATCTTGAATACAAGTTCACGGCATCCCAATATATCAAAACTTTTGGTGCAATTAGCAGCTGGGCCGATGCCCCAATTTTTGTGCTTGGCCGCCACCACATTGGCATTGATCGTCCCTGGTGCAATTCCCTGGCGCAATCTGCCATTCACACACCGGCACTAGTTGCCAACAGGTTCAACCCTTTGCTGTGAATAAAAGCTGGATTATAATATGCGGAGTCCCATCTTTTTCCTCTACAACACTCATATCTATCGAATATGTCACTTCCAGTGTTCCAAATAAATGTGCTTCATCAACCCTTCAAATGGCGCCACGAAAAAAAGTGTGAGCTGTCTCCAACATTTGCCACTGTTTTTGCAGATTCATCCTGTCAATTAGCTCCACATCGGATCTGTTGGTCTCCCACGTATGACACTTTGGTCAAACAGTATTTGCGCTGTGTAATTACCCTTCTCTACTTACCAACGGTATCTTGAGATTAGAACAGATGGAAGACACTCCACTGGAGGACTTTTCTGCTGAGTATTACAACATGTATGTGTTTATTCTCTCGCCAATTGACGTATTTTGCAGGGAGCAACGAGAACACCATGTCTTCAAGCAGCTCTTATAATCTCACCCCAGTCTTCTGGAATGGCAGAGTCCTTACTTATAATTTATAGATTGGCAAGGGAGCCGCCGGTGTGCGAGGCGATGACATGAAAATGCTGAAGTCTGCAGTCCTTGATTGGATTGTCCCACAAGAAGGAGCTATCCAGCCTCCTTTGCACAGAAACTTGAAGATTGACTGTGGATTCAATCATGACCTTACTGGATTCCTACTTTGTCCTGTTGGATTAGATTGGAACGACTCACAGTATGTTTTCGCTTAATGGAATATGCAGCCCTGACAGCTCATTTTGCCCTTCTTTGTCAATAGGACTAAAGAAAATCTACGAAGTTACCTACGACTCTGAAGATCCGTGGAACGGTCTCCTTAGGAGCCGTTTACTGGTATGTGTATGTGACGTCCCCTTACTCAAGATTCCTTCACTAAATTGTATGCCATCAGGCATATAAGCTCATTTTCACGTCTCCAAGCTCTGTCGAGAAGGAGCCGAAAGCCACACAATCTAGCAATGCTCGCCTCCATGGCATGAACTCGGTCACCGCCACTTCTATTGCATATATTGCGACTCAGGTTTGTCGACTGTCATGTGTTTGAACGCAGGCAATTTTGACATTGACTACAGGTCCGATTTGCCTTGAGCTCTTCCTCTGTATTCTTGAGAACCAATACGACCACAGATTCAGAGACATTTTATCATAGCCTTCTCGACCTCCTTGAAGACCCTGATGAATCTAAGGAAGTTGACAAATTACTAATGTGGTGGAATTGGTATGTTATCACCCTCAGATCATGTTGCAGATACTCATATATTTCCATCACTAGCCAGGTATTTCCTACTTCTTCTGCTGCTAAAAAATGTATCAGCGCCAATAGTGCACTATCGAAGATTCATCAAAAGCACCTTGCTTTGAAACAACTTTCAGGTTTGAACATAGAGTCTTTGTAGCTTTTATTCAAATATGTCTTGTATAGTCAATATAATTACAATTTAATGTCGGCCTGTTTTTGGCTTTTGCAATATGTTAGCCGCTGGATATCCTTCTAAGACAAGCCCTACGCGAGATGATATCACCAGCTAAAATATCACTGGAGGCAGCCTCAAAATAACAAATGTGATTCTTCTGCTATGTTGGTTGCCATACTGTAAATACACTGTTCATATATGGGAGCTCTGGTGGAGGATGCAACTGCAAGCTTGGCTTGCAAAAGACAATCACATTGTTACAGAATGGTACTGTATTGTAGAAAGTCTGCATCCTTGGGCTTTTGGTGGTGTTGGTCTAATGCAGTCCGGGTATATAAAGTGTTATCTAATGCTGACATCTGTTTAGAAATTGCGAATGAAGTAAAGGTTATAATCCCATGACCAGGGCAGAGCTAAATTGTAGTGCATTGTCATCAGTCCTCACCTGGGTGACAATGGTCACTCTGGACAAATTTGCTGTAGCTGGTGAGTGCCACAATATGTGCCACCATGACCCCAGCTGGCAGACAACTGCAACTAGACTGTCAAAAAAGAAATTGTGGTGTATTTGGTGTATTTCATAAAGTAAGTCTGGGTATGCAAAGCTTTCTTATGTGGTGTACAATTCTTATATATATTATATGAATTTTAGATCAGATATAGCTTTCTAAGAATTTATCGTTTTCGGGTTGGTTACCTGATGGCTGTAGCACTGCCACTGATGCTATATGATGAGAGAAACATTGTCCATCAACAGATCATGGAGGCTGTGCAGCGGAATGTCTTAGACCACACAGTCAATATATGCTCCATGCTAAACAATCTAGACGTCAAGCAGTTGGTCCGTGAAACCTTAATGAAGGTGGTAAGCTCTTATTGTAACAATGATGAAAGTAAGTGATATAACCCTAACGTTCATTCAAATTGACTAATACTTTGCCTGCAGCCATGTGTGAGTAGAGTTTAGTGAGGACTGGGCTGCTGCGAACCTAAATGTGTTGTTCACGAGGTTATCTACACCATTCGAGCTTATCCTGGCCACATCAAAAACCTTGGTGCAATCAAAGGTTGAATGCAGGTACAAATTACACCCTCCTGCATGATCGAATGATCTCAAATCAAACTGGAAGAAAAACAAGGTCAAGGACCTTGTCGACCATACATCTCCCTTGAAGTTCACCTTCAGAAAGGACAAAGAGACTGAGAAGGTCTGGCCGCTTGAGAACGAAGTTGTATGGGATATAGTTATCAGCGTCATTTCTGAACTCAAGCTCCAACAACATGTCAAAAACCTTGACAACCTTTTCTGCATTGCTGCAGCTGCGGTTTACTGTGCTTCATGTGAACTCCGGAACAGAAAAATGGTCGACCTTGTGTTTTCAGCTTCCAACTATAGACACACGTACAACCAATTGATGGACTACATTAGCAAGCACATCACCCCTAATGCAGAATTAGTGGAGCGATGGAAAAATTCCAAGGCTTGTACTACTACTTGATTGGAAGACATCCTGAACTACTAGTCGCACAGTACCACATTTGATTTTCATATGTTCGATCTACCGTCAGTTACTAATATGGCCATGTGATGTACTACTAGATTCTAGTACTACTATACATGCAATTTGACTGCTTTCCATCATACTACTTGGCCAGCATGATATATATTTCTGTACAGACTGGCTTTCCATATAATCATTGTGTTTTCTAAGTAGCACCAGCAAACAAAGGTAACACCGGCATGTGTCGGATAAGTTGGACCATGCCTCCACTCGCTCATTTTTTTCTGTGTTGAGCACATCTGGCAGGGACATATCCATAGGAATGTATGTGTGACTCAATTGCCCATAGTATGAAAGCTAACTTGAATACTATCATAAGTGGATGACAGCTGCAGAAACATAATCTGTCTACTACACTTCCCATGGTTGATTGGTAACACCGTGCCAACAGGCTCGTCGCCTCCAGAGTCCATGGCCTCATTTTTGTTCCATGCGTATGAGAATGACAGAACCTGAACAGGCAAGAGAGGACAGTCAAAATTTTATGGCAGGGAGTTGAGTGTGCATGATTGATGCGCAAGCTGAGTTTCTGCTTGTTCAATATTTTGTGTTCAAATGATATGTTTGACATTAACTTAATAGATTATGAGCTTGGTGCTGTAGAGGGCTGTTTGCATGGATTCTTTTGATCCAACTCCCAAAATGCAGGATAAGACATAGATACTATCATAAGGACATTTGTCATCCGCTGTATGTCTTTCAACCATACTACTCAATCTGATTTGTACCTTTCACTGAAATTATCCTATCAGACACAACAAATCTGCATTCTGATTCGACATATCCTTATAGGTGCTTTTGATGTTAAATTCATAGTAATCCCGGTAAGGTTCCATCATCAGACAACTCATGGAATCCTTGCATACTTAGCCCCAGAAACTGTTGCTCAACACTATGGGCATTGTGTTGGTTCCCTTGATACTTTCCGTACATTATCCCTTTTTGAGTTCTGGTAATTGTCTCTGGTAAACTACACCTGGGACAATGGCTCCCTTCAACTTCATCAGTGAGTCGGCTACAGCTCCATTCTTACATCACCTGTGCCTACTGGCTTTAGGGGTGTCTTCAAGCCAGAAAATGTCAATGTTGACGGCCAACTTGGGTCAGAAGATGCTGACATATCAGCGAAGACCTTTATTGTGCTTGTTACAAGAACATCTAGATGCTTGGGCCCCTACTATTTTTCTCCTGATCCTCCTCGTATCAGCCCTCGCGTCATACCCTTACCCCGACCTTACCCTCGTCATCCTCGTCATCCTCGCATTCCCTTTCGCTCTCTACCTATCGCTTCAGCAAAGCCAGTACATTTGGCCGGATCCCTTCGCTGACGAAGCATACCCTTGCTCCGTTTCACCACCTGACTGATCCTGCGGATAGTCCCCTTGCCCTTACCATCTGGATGGTAACCTATGATACGATGCATGACGCATCCCATTTCCTTTTTCTGATCTCTGACTCGATGCGCAGTCGCACATGCGACTTATACTTAGATCCGCAGTTGCACGATCGTGCCCCTGCGTGTTCCACTTCTCATTCTGATCTTTGACTCACTTTCTTATCCAGCACGTTCTACCTAGATCGAACGTGCCTTCCTATTATGGTTTTACCCTTTAACGATTGCCTCTCCCGGTAGTACGAGTTATCATCCACTAATACGTCCCCTGTCCTCTATATAAACTCGCTACCATGTACCATATTCCTTAACTTGAATCTACTTGGTTCTTGACCTCCTACTCTCACCAGAGTGATCCTTTCTGCCTCGCCAGCAGCCTATATTCTATCTTCTTATCTGCTCATCGCGGATAAGCCTATAGTCTTGATCTTTACTCATCGACTTTGTCGACGAGCAAAGCCCCTGTTAACTAGTCGGACTTCCGTCTTTCTAATTAACGACGATCCTTACGATTAACCTTCGGGTGTCGTAAGCCTAGGCCGATATAGCTTATCGTCTCGCACCCGCGTGACATAAGCTACCCGATTTGGACATAGGCGTCAAATCGTACTTGCCGAAGATACGCCAAGTACGACCCCTAACCTTGGGCTAGCCCAAGGACGTCCACAGACCGTTGACAACACAAGCTCTGTTTGAGCGTCGTCAACAGATACCATCCAAGTCGTAACAAAAGATTCAAGTTACCTTCTAGCCCTCAACACCTATCGAGGACAGAAACAGATACAAGACGACCACTCCCTGGACACGCAAGTTCTCTTGGGAGCGCGACCCGAATCAGGAAGATCCTGACGAAGAAGAGGTAGACGGACAGTTTAGCTCTCCCACCTCACCAACAGAGCAGTACCACTCAGACGAGGGACTGAACGACGAAGAAGATCTAGGAAACACTCCGACTTCTGAAGAGGACTTTCCAGACGAAGTACCTCCCCGAAACACTAGCGCCAACCCGAAGACAAGAATGTCTAACCCATCCTCCTCCACCGCCGTCGTAGTTCGTGCCCCTGAACTCAAAGCAGGGTCACCAACGGACTACGATGGGAACACCGACGACGCACAACGATGGCTCTACAGCTTAAAGACGTACTTCCTCATCAACCCCACCGTCTATTGCAGCGAGCAGATTATGGTGTCCGTCGCCCTGTCATTAATGACAAAGAACAGCGCTAAAGCATGGGCTGATAACTTCTATCGCGAAGCTTTCAGCACCAACCCCCCGAAATTCGGAACGTTCGCAGAATTCGAGAAAGGATTCAACCTTGCATTTCAACCCGTTGATAAGCAGGTGAATGCCCTCACCGAAATCGCCGAACTCAGAATGGGAAACAACGTTACGGACTACATCTCGAAGTTCAAAACGTTGGCTACCATCGCCAATATCAAGGAAGGCGTGACACTCTCACACTTCTTTGAGAAAGGCCTGAACCCAAGCCTTCGCGAAGCAATCTACAGGAAGGAGACACTTCCGGACACCATCGAAAAATGGTACACTTCTGCGGTACAGCTCGACGCTAACTACCGCAGGAGCAAGGCCGTCTCTGCCAACTCCCGCAACCAACACACCCGATATGCCCCTCGCGGTTCCAAGTACTACCCCAAGCCCAATGTCTCTTCGTCCAGAGACCCTAACGCTATGGACGTGGACCGCACCCTCTCTCAGGCAGAGAAAGACGAATGCTACAAGAAGGGCCTTTGCTTCTCATGCAAAGAGCATGGCCACAGAGCCAACGATCCCAGATTCCACCCGAAAATACGACGTGGAGAGAAGAAAGATACCAAAGGAAAGACTCCGGTAACGACTGGTAGAGACCAGCGTAATGACGAAACCTCCGAAGACGACATGGAGACCAACAGGCTCCAAGGAGAAGAGGATTTTTAGAACGGAGGACCGCAAAAGCAACGTGCGTCCCCTCCTTAGATATCCTGTGTACTCATACTGTAGGAAAAGAAAATGAATTCCGTGTCCCGGTGACACTTTTCTCTTCCACGAGTACGAAAACCGTTGCAACAACAGCCATCATCGACTCAGGAGCTGGGGGAACATTTATTTGTGACACCTTCATAAAGAAGCACAATATTAAAACCCACCTCCTGAAGAAACCCTTCCGCATCACTACGGTAGATGGAAGCCAATCCACTGCTGGGAAGGTCATTCGATACTGCATACTCTTCGTCCGACTCGACGGACGAACTATGTGGGGAAAGTTTAACGTCACTAGACTTTCCGAAAGAGACGACATCTTGCTAGGGAAACCCTGGCTATCCGCCATGAAACCGGATATCGATTGGGGACGCAACGAAATCACAATGCTCCCCACAACCAGATCCAGACACGTTGAGAATCTACTCAACAAGATTCGAAAAAGGAACGGGGTAACCCCCTACCGATTCGAAGGTCTCCGACCAATGATCGAGGACGAGGAAGAGGCACCTTTCAAACCTCTCAAGTCACTTCCCCTGAGTACGGAACACGTACTTGAAGAAATTCGACGCAAGAAGAAGAAAAAGAAGACGAAGAAGGCAAAACCTGCCAAGGAGGTACCCGCCGAAGAAAAGCATTTCGAAATGCCTCAAGAAACCGACATCATGGAAGATGTCTGGGTAGGGAAGATCGAACCCCTACCCGAAGTCAAGGAAGTCGCGACTTACCCCTTGACTGATGACGAGATTCTTATAGAATACTCGACCGATGGTTCTTCGGTCAGACTGATCGAGAACCTTACCTTCGACACTCCCCTAACTAGGGATGGAACCTCCAAGACGGAGACCACGAAGACAAAGAAGACTCCCCTTCGCAACATTTGGATCCTTGCTACGGTGAAGGAGGAGTACACGAAAACCAGTAACAAGGCGCAGGAATTCGCCAAGGACAAAGCTCAAGAAACGAAGAAGAAACCATTCGAAGAGCTTGTCCCCGAATACCTTCATGACTTCGCAGATATATTCGCGAAGGATGGGCTTAACAAGCTCCCCCCATCAAGACCAGGTGTAGACCACCGGATCGAAACGAAGGAAGGTTTTATTCCAAAATCTTCCCGAGCTTACCCCCTCTCTCCAAAAGAGACAGAAGCGGTTAAAGCGTTTCTGGACGAACACATCCAGAAAGATTTTATCCAACCATCGAAGTCGCCTCAAGCCTCTGGCTTCTTCTTTGTAGGAAAGAAGGACGGCTCCCTTCGCCCCTGTCAGGACTACCGATACATCAACGAATGGACTATCAAGAATGCATATCCACTTCCGCTCATTCCGCCTCTCATCGCCAAACTCAAAGACGCGAAATACTTCACCAAAGTGGATGTCCGTTCAGGATACAACAATATCTTGATCCACCCTGACGACAGATGGAAGGCAGCCTTCTCGACAACTTTTGGACTCTTCGAGCCAAAAGTGATGTTCTTTGGCCTCTGTAACTCGCCAGCGACGTTCCAGGCCTACATGAACCAGACGTTCAGCAAGGAGATAGATGAAGGATGGCTCATCGTCTATA